GGGACACTGGCTGCGCCAGATGCCCATCACCTTGTCATTCGATCGCATGTTTTCACAAGGAAACGGGAGAAGGCCACTGATCAGACGTGTCGCCGCCCGCTGGTTGGAGACGAATGCCTCGGTACCGACAAACTTAACTAGTCGGGAGTCGTCACGGGCCGGCGCGACGTGTGGCCTGAAACACTGACACTGAGCACTGTGACCTAAGGCTTATGATGGATGCTAGTCTAGGCGCAGTTTCTATTCTTATTGTGCCGCAGAGAGTACACAGTAAAACTTATCGTGAAAGACACCTCGAAACTGATCAACAGCCCAACGTGAACGCCCGGAACTCACCTGCCGTGATAAATCCAGCGATCATCTGCATCACTGCTTCGGTTTTCTGAGTCACTTTTTCAGCACCGCATCGCCCAGGTCCGTCTCACACACCAGGCTGCCACTGCGACCACCGCGCGCGGCCCTCACCCTCGGACTGCTCTCCGACAACTGCCGCCCGCCGCCGCTGCCTCGCCGGCCGCCCACCGCCGCCCCGGGCCGGCCCGCCGCGCCGAGACGCGCGCCTCCCTCCGCGAGCGGCGCCGGGCGCTCGCCAGCCGGCCTGCCCCGGTTGTAACCAATACAAATACGGCGAGCCCGTGGGGTGGAGGAGGGCGGCGGCGGCCAGCGCGAATAGTGCACGGATGGTGAATTATTTAAAGGTAGTGTGCCACCTTTGAAAGATTTCCCATTTTATTTTTCCTAGGATAAGAAGCTTCTGTTTTTACCTAATATCGCAAAAAAAAATCAAAAATGGGCCTGGAATAGTGCCTTTTTCGCCTAAAAGTTTTTCGGTTTTTAGATATGTATAACAACTGTAGTGGGCTCACCTGCAAACAGGCGTCGGGCAACAATCGCGAATGCGGCGCACTTGTGACAATAAGCAAAGGTCATTATAATAGTGTTACGACCATACGACGTACGGGAATGAGTTATCAGCTGTCTAATCGTAGACAACACAATGTTGAGCCTTAAACTGTAAGCCCGTATTGGTATTGTTTCTTTTATTTGGCTGTCGAACATTATTTATGGTTTGAAATATGATTTTATGTAAAATAATTGATATGAAAAAGCCGTCTTATAAGTTATGACCCCATTTCACCACATGCAAGTGGCAGAAATGACAATGATCAGCTGACGCATTTTTCTTGGCCGAAGTCAGAGCGCGCGGCCCGACGCACCACGCGTATTTGGAAATTCCGACCTCGACGAGCATCAGAAGCCACCTAACAGGCGTGTTCGAAACCGCAGGAGATGATGATGAACGGGTTTATCGAAACTTGATTGGATGAGCATATCGGAAATAGCGATTTCAGTGTGTGCATGTATTGTTCATAGTGGTGTGAAATGTGGTTGGGGTACGACCGACAACCCGTCGGGGCGAATTTCGCACTGGGGTACTCAAAATTTGAAGAATTTAAGACGTTTCCATGAGTTTTGAAGGTATGGATAAGTTCTAAAAATCCGGTTCTCCTTATCTGGGCCATTAACTCCATACGGTCCAAGAAAGCTGGCACACTACCTTTAAATTTTAACCCGCGCACCGACGGGGGGGCGGATATCCGCCCCCCCCCTGAGGTTTTTCGCGAATAGCGGGAAAACCGCGGCGCGTAGCGCCGCGAAATTTGGTATGACTATTCCCTCATCAATTTTACACATGGTGTGCAAGTTTGAACCTCCTACCTTTCAAGGTCAGGTCACCAGGTCACTTTGAATGACCCAACCTCAAGTCACTTTTTTGCAACTTTGTCACCGTGCCAGAGCTACAGTAGATGTCGGAGGCCTTTGAAAGTCGCAGGATGTTATTAGGTCATTAGTAGCTACAATTTGTATATCTCGGAATTTTGATATCGGTGACCTAAGGTCAGGTCAATTTCGCGACCTCCCCATTATAAGTCAATGGGGGAAAAATCAACTCCCTGTTTTTACCACTAAAACGGGTCGGAATGGCCCCATATACCATACATGACTTCATATACGATCAACCTTCACTACCTTGAGGTCTGTTTTGCTGTTGGGCAGCTGTGAGGTCATGTGACGTCATCAAAGGTCACCAAAGGTTTTTGGCCAATAACTCCGTACAGGAACAAGATACAGACGCGTGGATGGTCTCATTGTGTTCAGCTCGTCAAGACGCATCGAGTGATATACATGATGACCTCGAGGTCACGTGACCTGAGGTCAACCTTTGACCTTGACCTTTCGAGGTCAACATATATCATTCGATGCGGATTGACGAGAGGATCACGATGATGCCCTTAGTTTGTCCCTATCTTGACTAATTCGAAAGTTATTCGAGAAAAACTCTCTCCATATTCAGCGCCGCCATTTTGACTTTTTCGACCCCTGTGACGTCATCTTTGACCTGACCTGAAAATGACCTTAGTAAAAATTGTAGATCTTGACCGTGCATATCCGATGCCGTTTACCGCTTGTCGCTATCTTGCTTCGTTCTCGAGATCTCAGGGGGGGGGGGCGGTCATCCGCCCCCCCCCCCCCGTCGGTACTAAGTTGGCGCAGACCCCCGTCGGTGCGCGGGTTAACCCTATGGCAGGAGTGTACCGCTACAGCATCATTCTCGAAGAGAGGGGTGAAGAGTGGCAGGCTAGCTAGAAAATTTAGAGAAACAAGATAGGCAAAAATAATATTCAATTACCTGGCCTTGCCTATCGATTAGTGACCAAATAGTCATCTCGTTTTAATACAAGATTGCCATTAAGACGATTCCTATTAAATTCTAAGCTGATAAAAGCTGATTGAAATCGGTCATCTCAGCCTTGCTGGAGCTGCTACCGGATCTTTTTCCAAAATAACTTTTAGATATCAGGAAGAAATTTATGTCGATAGGCGTTATCACAAGTGTATTCGCGGCCATTGGGGCGACGTAAGAAAAGAAGAAACCAACTGGCCCCAAGAACTTTAAATTATCAGTTAGCATGCACCTTTTCCTTGATGTGTAGAGAATTTACCATTATTTGTTACAGAAAATTGCATTTAAAATCTTCCATTTATGCTTTTTTCATCGTTTGCGAAATATGTTCTTTTACTAAGCTAGAAACACTATTTAGAAATAGTTCCCGTGCATCATCAAGAACAATAGGGAAGGCTTGAAGTGAATAAAACAATTTAAACGGTTTTGTAATCTATGTGAAGGCACTTCTAAAATTGCCTGTAGAAATATTGAAGGCAAAAGTCCAACTTTTTCACAAGAAGGATGTCTATAAACCTATTTAACTTGTGACAACTCAGCCGGTATTTCGTCGCCTACAGCCCAGCTTTCCCTAGTGACCGATAGAGGCGCTGCTATCGATGTCCGCCCGTGCCGCCTATCGTTAAAGCGACAGTATTTTAAATCGGATTAGGTGAGATATGTGGATCGCTCATGATTTTTCAATACAATACAATAAAGATGGCCGATAGGGTTGTTGCCACCCCACCCCCGACGATTTGCTTCGTCATCACTCGAATCGCGTATGCAGCCGTATTTTTCAGCCGGCCAGGTCATGTCAGGCTAGGTCATTAAATTATAAAGTGACCCTCAGCACAGTCAAAAAATTTACAACTTCGCGAGTGCGACACCCTCAGTGGCCAGAAGTCTTACGCTAGGAAGAAGCAAGCTTTCGAGTCCTCACAACTTTTACGAGTTATACATAATCACTATTTTTATCAGGGTCACCTGAGGTCAGATTGGCCATGTTATCACTGTTATAAGCCAATGGAAAACAATAAAATGTGAAGGAGGCTGAAATTTTACATGACGTAAAATGTATAGTGCATTTGTTATTTACTTCATAAACACGGTCGGTAGGGATTGAGAAAAATGGCCATTGGCCAAGCATGATTTCGGTAATTGCCTCTTAAACCGCCTTGCCCCTCCAGCCCGAAACGTGAAGGTATCAATTGCTCCGAGCCTCCGAAAGATCCATCATTTTCACTCAGGATCGATGGAACAGGACAGTCGCACGTCAAACAGCGGCACATTTACAATATTCACTCGTACTCAACTTCGAGTAACATAAGAGTGTCTCATGCCTATATATTTTACGATATTTGCATGGCTTTCTTCTATCGTTTACTGGTTTCTAAAACCTCAGTTTTATGAGAATTGCCGTAATGTCGATTAAGTGCCCGTCCATATCAGAGCACATTTCACAAGAATGCACCCAGAAGCACAGTCTATTGGCCGTAACCCGATGGTAATCGCCGCCCCATTGTTCAACTTTGCCTGTCACGCCGAACTATATCTCTACCACGGCAGCCGTTGCCGCTCGGTAAAAACGGGCCGTTTTTTTACGACCGGCCGGCGGGTGGCTGGCATTCCTTAGGGAAACATAAGGCAGCTCGGCGGTCAGCTGCCGCCGTTTTTATACCCAGTCATCAAATCGAGGGAAGGGCGCGGCCGCCCGAACCGGCGCAAAAAGCACCGTCTTCCGCACCGCCGACTAAAAATTTGATCCCTCGCGCGGTGGAAAAGCCCTAATGGTTATTAGCTAATATGAACGAAGCCTTCCGGCTGAATTATAGGCTCCTAAAATTACCCTACTAATACATTACCTTATCAATACCATGTCAAATTGTGTAAACTGAAATGTCTTTTCATGCCGTCCAGGGGAAACAGACTGCACTTTTACATTCCACGTACTTTTACGAAGCCAGCTCGAACGTTGTTGTTGATAATGAGTGCATGGGACCCCGATAGACCGTAGCGCCATCACTGGCGGTACAGTATAAATTTCCGCCATTTTAAGTCCGGAATAAGCGATGCGATTTGGTGGCAGAGGGCTAGTCAGCCTACCCATGTGGCGTGGACAGTCTGCTTAGTGCGGGCAGAGAGGACCTCGGCCTTAAGAGAAGTGAAAGTTTTTTTTTGAACTCTTAGTGACTTTTTCAAAGAAAAAATTAAGACTTAATGCTTAAGACATCACGTCCATGAGCACTACAAATCAAAATGCCACTAAACACTATTCCAGAAACATGATGCCCCATATATTGTTTCCTTATAAAGAGTGGTACATACGCTATACCACAGCCACCACTGCTATCTACCGCTAAAATATATCTGCGGCTTGAAGAACAACTAATGGCACATATACCAAGTCACTAATACTATACAGCATACATTCCAAGGGAGCAGAGTAGCGTTCTATTTAAGGCTCGTCTAAGGCTCGCAAACGGCGAATCATATAAAACGTGAAGTATAACGTAGACGGTAAAATATGTAAGAAGGTAGTATAATCTCAGCTGAAGTATTCATAATACGACTTATAAAAATAAGCTCATTTTCTATGGAATATCTACCAAAATAAGGGCCACTGAATACAAGTGACGTACACTAAGTTGTATGCAGTAGCGTATAAAACACGTCTGAAAAAAAATCACCACAACATCTATCGATGGACCAACAATAGCGCTGAGAATCACTGTACATACTTGAAGCCACGTCTAATCAGCAGTTTGAGTAAATATTTCCCAGTCTGCCCCATAGCCGCTGACCGGGATAGGTCACTGAGTCCGGCTGGCCGCGGGACTGCGGCAGCCACTCCGTCATCCCGTGCCGGGCCGAGCGTGGTGCTCAGGCCACGATAGAAGAGGAGGCCATGTCCTGGACGCCGCACTCGTCGCTACCCCGGTACAGGCGGAAGTAGCCCTGTGGGAGCGGTCGCAGCACGGTCACATGCATGTCAGCGGGGATACAGTACCGCAGAGGGCAGTCTGAGTCAACAGTCTACCAGTCACCGGGGGAACACAGGTAGGCACATTGACCCTTTATCCAGCCAAACCTTCCTAACGGCCACTGATGCACCGTGAATCAGATATTGGTGATGAAGTACTTGCTTTTGCATACACTTTTCCCCAAAACACGTGTTATAAGATCATCCTAAGTCCTAACCCACGGATAACTGAAACATTTGGCAAGACGGTGAGCTACTATGAGTAGTCCCTAATGTACACATTGACACAGAACAGTGGATGCTTCAAACGACGTCCACCGGATGTCCCTAGAGCGGCAGGGGGGGGGGGGGCGTCACCGTTGCCGCTGCAAAACGTACCTGCTCCCCCCAGTCGGCACCCCACGAGTTCTTCACGATCCAGAACGGCTTCGTCTTGTTCACCACTGGGTAGGCTGCAAAACACGGGGGCATTGCGTCAGTCTGACAGCTTCGCTTTCATAAGGACAGCGTACAGGAAGCTCTTCTCTCCCTGGGAGGTTTTCACCTAGTATTATTATTGTTAATGCCCTGTTCCTGTGATGGGAGGAAAATCCGTATCTTGAGACTAATCCGAGTCGCGTTAAGTACCAACCCCGAATCCGCTGAAGAAGCACACACATACTTGTTCATCATCATCATCATCATGTATTCGTATGGCATCCGTTTAAAACACGGCTTTTCAGCACAAGAGTCATTCCATATATGCACTGTCCTTAAAGCTAATGATCTAAAAACCTACTAAAATACTACGAATAAGCCATTTGTACTCATTTTCTAAGAGATGCTGTTAAAATCCAAGTTACCTACAAGCGTATTTTAAAATCAGCGGCGGATGAGATCTATTCTATCTGGGTAAGACCAGCCCGACATTTCCGCATCCCCGCGCGGAACGCTACGACCGTGCTGGCGTGGCGAACCTCGTTCGGCGTCTCGTTCTAGCTCGCTGCTGCCCGAAACCCGAAAGAACGTCTGGCGAGCTCCGTGCGGACCCGCGGAAGTTGCAGCATTCCCGCCATTGATCCTCGCGTTTCCCTCTCGGTTACACAATCGCGACGCTGCAGCAGGTCTCGCAAGTGCGATGGTGCATGGACAGAGTTGAGGAGGCGGTGCACCATGGCGAGGTCACGTTCTGTGATGAGTTGTTCTACTCTCGGCCACTCAAGCTCAGTAAGGTGAGGCGTGATATGCTGATGACGTCGGCAGCATTTAACTATTCGTGCACCATGATTAATTATTTTTTGAACGCGTTTTCGCTGTGTAGCGTTGCATGCTGCCCACACTGTCGCGCAATACATTATGTGTGGGAACACCAGGGCCTCAATAATCAATTTCTTGACTTCCTGTGGCAGCCGACGGGAGAATTTGGAGAGACCTATCTGAATAGTATAAGAACGTTTTACTATATTCGAAATATGTTTTTCAAACGTGAGGTTTTCATCCAAAATAAGCCCAAGAATTTTAGCGTTTGAAGTGGGGCGGAGCATTGTTTCTCCAAATTGAACTTTCAGCTCATTTCCTATTCTTCTTTGACGTGTGGAGAATAGAACGATCTCTGTCTTTTTGGGATTAATTTTTAGTGAATTTTCTGTAAACCACCGCTGAGCGTCGCTCAGCGTTTGTCCAATTTCAAGCTCCAACTGATGAATATGCTTGGGGTGACCACTGTGAATGAATTGAACGTCATCAGCATATAAAACCATCTTAGTGTCACTTAAAAATGAGGTCAGGTCATTTGTGAATAACAAAAACAGCACTGGCCCCAAAATCGATCCTTGGACCACGCCATGCGTTATTGGAGCGGTCTCCGCAGATCCCCCGCGTACTCTGTGGTGGCGGCCTCTGAGCCAGTCACTGAACCAATGAGTGTCCACGCCGTACCAGCCAAGTTTGTCCAGGAGCCGGCCATGCTGAACGCTATCAAAAGCCTTGGAGGTGTCGATCGCTGTCAGACAACCGATCTTACCCTCGTCTATGACTCGAGTGATGTAGCTGACCGCGTCCAACATCGCCGACTCCGTGGACCTCCCCGGCCGAAAGCCGTGCTGCTCCTCACACAGCACACCGTGGGACAACAGGTAATGCAATAGTTGATCACAAACGACTCTCTCAGTGAGCTTCGCCACAGTAGAAATGATCGACACTGGCCTGTAATTGTTAACATCACTTGTGCATCCCGCCTTGTGGATTGGGACCACAGTTGCGACTTTCCACTCGCTCGGGAGCTCTCCAGTAACGATTGAGGCGTTTATCACGTTTAACAAATGCGGAGCTATCACCGGAAAGGTTAGTCGCAACATGCTCACTGTGATCCCATCCTCACCGCACGCATTCGATGATGACAAGCGCTGCAGTGCCGAGTGAAGCTCGGGCAGAGTGACTGGATGCACCCCTAAAGTTGTTAACTCCCTAAAGTAAAAAGAGGCGCCACTCACATTTCTCTCCGGTGATATCGGTTACAGTCACTCACATTTTTCTCCGAAGGTGATACTAGGGTCACAGTCACTTACATTTTTCTCCGAGGGTATGGGTTACAGTTACTCACATTTCTCTCCGAAGCCGACGAGCAGCACTCCGTGGTCGATGGCCGAGGCGCGGCACAGGAACGACCACACGTCGATGATCCCGCCGCGGTAAAACTGAAACACAACACAGCTCAGTCCGAGGCGTGGTGAAACCGAAGTCTGAGGTAAAACCGAACCGAAACACAACACAGTCAATTCGGTTCGAGGGTGTTAAAATCAAACACAACACAGCTATCTCGGTACGAGCCGCGGTAAAACTGAAACACAGCTCAGTCCGAGCCGCGGTAAGACTGAAACATGGGGACAGTTTTAGAACAAACCCAGAACTAGCTCAGTCCGTGGGTTGGCCGGGTCGCCTCGACCGATTCACAAGGGCGCTGAACACCACTAACCACTTAACACTCGACGAATGGCGGTCGCGCCGGTGCAATGTAGTACGGAGCCATCCAGCTGCGCTCAATGGACCAAAGTGTACCAAGTGCGACACCCCTGCGCCCGACCGTGGACCAGGTAAGACACCACTGCGCCCGGCAGGCTCCGCGGGTCTCTCATCCACCTACTGCGGACCGGACCAGCACTCACCATCAGGGGGTTGGCGTTGACGCCGATCGAGACGGGTCCGTTCTTGTAGAGCCACTTCTGAATGTCGGCCTCGTTTTTGGGCAGGTCCAGACTACCAGTCAGCTTCACCTGCGACAGTACGGAACAGCCACAGACGAGTGTTAGGCGGTGTCGGAGGGCGGTGCACACACACGCAAGAAAAAAATATGTATCAAACAGTTGGTGATAAAGATGCTGACATTTAAATAAATATATTATACAACCAACTACCGCACAGGCGTCGGAGGCAGCTACAGCACTGCGCACCAGGCCAAAATGTTCTCAGAAGGAGCAGCAGCGCTGGACGACGGCCAAAAAATATTCAAAAGGAACAGTTCTGGGCAATTATAATCCAAGGTAATCGGTATGACACGGGCCCGTGGTCTAAGGACTCCAAGGGAGCAACACTTCGACAGCCCGCTCGATTAGCAGCAGCCCCACACCGCTGGCGCCTACCCTGAGGTCGGTGCGGTTGAGCCGACACTGGTCGTTGCGTCCCTCGTACGGGTAGTCCTTCTCCTCCTCGAGTCCGCCGAGGAACTCGATGAACTTGTAGGCCTGGTCGGGCAGGCCGCCCTGGCAGCCGTGGTCGTCGGTGTCGCAGTCCACCAGCTCTGGGGAGCGGCGGGAAGTGGGGCGGACGGTCAGGCACACCGCTATAGACTGCCGGTCCAGTGCCATTACGCTCCGCAGCACCACGACAGTACCACCAAAGGTACTGTGACATGTATCAGCAACGAGAAAACATGTGGATGACTGTAGCCTTATCAAAAGTGGTGTACAAAAGTAAGAGATCTACGTTCCCTCAAACGTCATCATCAATAACAAATACATGTTTTTCGCTAAAACAGACAAAGCTTAACACTCCTGCATTTTGTTTTAGGTACCTAGTTTTAATTTTAAACCACACCGTATTCGTTTTTACTCAGTCAGACAGTCGAGTACTGTACTTTTAGAGCAGGCAATTCGCAGTGGCTCACCCTGCTCGGAGAGTGACAGGAGCTGTCCGTGTTTGATGAAGTACTGTCCCTCAACGTTACCGGTGACGGAGAAGGCCCAGCAGCTGCCGCACTGACCCTGTACGCAGGGACAGGGCGCCGTCAGAATAGTCAGGGAAGGACAGGCAGTCACAAACCGCAAGGCCAGCTCAACGTCAGGGCAGGGCAGGCAGACTCGCAGACCACATGGTGGGGTCATCGTCAGGACAGGGCAGACACTCACACAGGACCCGCTACGACACGCATGCAAAAGACCACCGGTCATGTCACCATTGCACATATTACAAGCGTGCTCTAAAAGTATAAATCTGACCAGCTTTGCTTTCAATATTTCAATATTTCTGACAATAATTATGAATGGAAAGCTAAAACTTCCGAGAACGTAAAACACTACTAAAAACTATTCACGAGCATCTCATCCAAGCATTAGCCTTACAAACATTCGCTATCATTAGCCACAGCCCATCCTGACACCACCGACCGCAGAGCCCCGGCAGCGGTGTCGCACCTGGTTTTTGACGGGGGTCACGGCGCCCTTCTCGCGCCAGTCCCAGTTGGTGGGCATGCCCTGCACCTCGGGGATGGCTGCCGTCTGTCGGAACCGGCCGTCGGGCGCCGGCCGCGGCAGACTGGTGTCCAGGCCCAGCTGGGTGGCGCGGAACTCCTCCACTGCGGCACACACGAGCTGGTCACAACACACCAGAGGGTGATGGGATTGAAAAGACCACGCTCGTTGACCTTTACAGGATTTATTTTGTCGAAGGTATGGCGATACTTATGTTTTGGACAAACGTTTTGAGTTCATGTCAGCATCACCGACATTATATAACTTTACTATAATGAGGTGCACATAAACTAGAGCATTGTCCGGAGTCGAAGACTAAAAGTGGAATCAGAGTCGGAGTCCCCGAGAATCAATAGACTTTGCCAGCCGAACAGACCTAGTCTGCCAGCCGCCCGGAATCGGACACAAAACCAAGAGTCCGTGAGATTACAAGGCAAGCACTCGCCGCTTCATTTACCAATCCTACAATACGACTGACTGTTAACCAATCACAGCGGCGTCTCGTCCACCCGAGTCTCACCGGTCATATCACTAAACTTGGTGACGCCGTACTGGGCCGTGCCCCGCTCCATTCGCTGGAAGTTGCGCGCGTGCTTCATGTTCTCGCCAAACACGCGCATCCGTCGCGCGTACTCCTCGGTGCTCGGATAGGTGCGGTTGAAGAGGCGCACAAATTCGCCAAACTGGGCGCGCAGCCGCTTACTGGCGGCGCCCGCCGGCTTACCGAACTTTTTCTTGCTCTTTCCGTGGCCCTGCGGTAGAGACGGACGGCGGTTACGAGCGGTAGGGGGGGGGGGGGGGGGTTAAGCAGCCTCAGACTCAGAGGAGGCACAGTACATACAGACCCAGTGTGTCGATACGCGATGGTGATGTTTGATGGGTCAGTAGCTGGCCATGGGACACTTGAACAGGTTACAATTTCAAAATAAGCACTGAGATGTAGCTACTACTGACACAGGGGAAGTTACTGCGCGGCGACTGCAGAAACAGCTTTGCAGCGGACTAGACGTTTGTAGATATACCAGTAATACAGCTCAGCTCAAGGACCTGAATCTGCTACCTATCATAGTATTTATTTAAGTTTTCGGTCGGTTGTCCTCTCATGAAGCGCCGCCCGGCCCAGTGACTGACTTTGTGTTTGTGCGCCGCCACCGGCCGGGTGCAGCGGTGCTTGGTGAGCTCACGGCGACCTGTCCACGGCTGGTCGTACACCACCAGCCGACACGTCTGCCACGTGGAGGGGGGCGGTCAGTGGTCACTGGTTTGCAGACAGCAGTCGGCAGACGGGCAGTCAGAGGTCAGTGGTCAGCCTGGTCATACACTTGTACAGCTTCAAGTGTTAACAATGTTCATGCACTTGCATATTACATGCACATCACAATATTATCAAATGTTGCATAATACACAGTAAATATGTTTTTTTCCGGGAATACGGGATTATGCGCGCAAGTATCTCCGATAGAAAGATACGTTAATAAGCGTCCGCCATCATTGTTCGGGGGGGGGGGGGCGAGTAGTGAGCACTGACCACGATCCGGGGCCGATCGGCGGGCTCGCACTCTAGCGCCGACGGGCCGGCCTCCTGATGGCAGCCCGTCTCCACCAGGGACACCTCCAGCTTGTAGTTGGTGCCGGAGACCAGCTGTGGCACGAGACAGCCGTCAGAGAGCGGTACACGGTGGGAGCACCGCGCCCATAGTCACCTATCTATCTATCACCCCTAGTAGTAGTCACCTATCTTTGCATCTTAATTATGCCTGCTATTTCAAAGATGATATTCCTGTAGTTAAATATATGGCTTAACTTTTTAACTGGACAGCTAATGGACTTAAATGAAGGACATAAAATACGGTCCTCTGTCAACAACGATTATATGATACAGGGGTAGCCTCAGGAAAGGCTGAAAAATCAGAATGAGGCACTTTCCATCATCAAATCAGTCAGTTGTCGCGACGAACAACGACAGCGGTCGGTACATACGTACCTGCTTGTGGATCTTATCCACGGACTTCAGCGTGAAGAACTTCTCGCTCTTGATGTGCGGCTGGAGGAGCGGCACAGCGAACCTGGCCATGGTGATCACCGTCTGGTCGGCCTCTGCGTGCTCGCGGTACTCTCCCAGACCGGCGGCGCCATCGCCCTGTCGACACCGGGTGGACACACTGTACAGAGAGCGGTATATTACGGCACAGAGGGTGTACGTACAGTCCACAGCAGAAGTAATGTGGGGTTTCAGTCATGGGTATGTTCTGCTTCTGAAGCTTAGGAACGATTAGCCAGACTACAATGAAACTTTGAATGTAGCTTATATGTATCGTCACCCTTGCAGCTGCAACTTTAGCTATTGACATCTTCTTTTCGATCACTCCGCATTTAACAATCGCCAGTCAAAGCCAACCGTTGAGATTGGTAAAACCCTACATTACTTTAGCGGTGGGCTGTACATCGGACCCCGGAGGACTCGAGATCTCACGGGGAAGGCTGTAGTAGAAACTCTGGTAGGTCAGTAGAGCTAGGCATAAAGAGGGATCTAAAACAAGTCTTCTTCTGAGGCGAGACAAGAAATAATGACGTAAGGAATAAACATAGTGAAAATTGAATTCAACATTAAAACTGCACAGATTCTGAATAATGGTTGAAACAAAGGGTTGGAGGAGGCTGGAGGATATACAGAAAACAGACCCATCATAAGGATGACCTGTCCAAAGCTGCAAGTAGCCTGATTTGAGTGAGTGACCAGTGGAACTATCCAAAATTGAGCATTATGCTTGAAAAGAACTCACTGAGACACATCTGAAGCAGCCCTGATATTGGAATTTGGGGGATAAATGATGGGTAAAAGTCAGGTCAATGAATCTTATAGTTGTAAAGTCATGTGACATAAACATTTTTTCTTGCCAATTTTGATTAAATGGCTCAATGAAAGTATTGCTTGAGTAGTAAGAGGGCAGATTCAGCAGGTCAAGTGTTGAAAAGCTTTCAACAAATGATGAGGCAAAGGTCAGTTAAAAAAAATGTATATGTTTCTTGCAGATGTGAATAGAGATAAGAAGAATAATGGTGCAAGTTGATTTTATGTATGATACCTCATTTTCAGTTATAATACTTTTCTACCCCACCACAAGGCAGGTAGGTACTAACCACTAGGTAGGTATCTAAGCAAAACAAGATAATCAATACCAATATGATATGATCAGTATAAGCATGCTGGATCAGGCCATCCTTACCAGCAGAAAAGCCAGACCTGCCACCACCACAAGCTTCCACATCATGAAGGTGTGTGAAACCTGCAACAGAGCAGTGTTACCAGCAGAACACTATAGCAATTCTTACAGGAACCAACCCATCTCATCCTGGTATCATAAGCTGTGCATCATACCTGACTAAAACAACATGACACTGGCAGCACTGACATCACATAAGGCAAGGGGTTCCAACTCTATCACCTCAAAAAAGTCTTTAGACAATAACCCCTCTACATTTGTCATGGTACTTTTCTTATTAGCCATCAATTGATCATCTGTGTCTAAGACTGAGATACCTACTGATAACTGCAGAACATAGAGAATAAAAATTATTTGTTCCATCACAACAATGGGATTCTCAGTATCATGCTTGATAAATAATTAGGGACAATAATGTGGGGGAATCAGAAAAACAACATCAGGGAAACAACTCAAACTGAAATTCTTGGAGAAAAGCAACTCTTAAATTGCAGGTAAATTATTAAATTCAAGCATCATCCCTTTCAAGAAATGATTTAAAATTTTAGGTTAGTTATTCTGCAGTTAGCTCCAGACCTAACTTAACCAAACCTTACCTAACCTAAATCACTTTATCTAGCCTAGCCTCCTGAAATCTACAGCTTTTTAGGCACAGTTTTAAAAAAGTTAAAGACCAACTTCAAAATGTTCACATGCATTTCAAACTTAAGCTTTTTGAATTTGGCCTTTAACTTTTTTAAACTGCACCTAAAAAGGTGTAGAACTTAAGGAAATTCACCAATTTTTACACAGGGTTGTGAACTAAATAAGCAGTTTTGTAGCTTGAGCTGAGACTAGCACAAATCAGGAGCTTTTACAGCCCAATGATCATCCTAGGCTAAGACAAAGATTTATCATTCTGAAATCATTCTCTTACCTGCCCAGGAATGCTTCCCTTACAGAAAATGCCAATAATCCTGCAACCTGTGGCAAAAATCAATCATCAGTCAAACAGCATGCAGTTGGTGACAGCCAGGTAATATGATTGGTCAATGCATAATCATAATCAGCCTCCACTGCCAGACTGGAAAAATCCCTATGACCTGTTATAGCACACAAGATATGCCAGGGACTCAGTCATGCACTGACATTTTGTGCAAGGGATTTAGTGCTGACGCCGCTGACATTTTGAGCATGATCAGCGCAGGCCGCAGACAGTTGGAGTCTGGAGATTAGCTTATTTCTGCCAAATTCTAGCCTTATTTACCATTTGAGCATCCATATGCTTATCAATGCCACTAATTCCAAGGTTTGATAGCAAATAATAAGGACAATGGACAAGAAGCAATCTGAACAATCAACGGAAATACTTTTCCGTGATGGTGGCAAGCTTTTTCTTTCTTAGAGTCCAAAACTTTTCAATTGAAGGGTTCCCAACTAGGGACAGAGCCACTAAATATATTTTGAAATTCCTCTGGTAGGCAAAATTCAGCATTTTTTAAACTGAAGTAAGATAACTAATTGGCTAAATGTGGCAAGAAAGTGCCTATTCCTGAACCCCCGTTAAAAAACTTATCCAAAAATTTTATGGATACTATTTATTTTACTATTATTATTTATGGATTATAAATAAACCTTACAAAAGCAGATCTACCCTATTTTTGAAGAACCTAGTAAGTGTCAAGGTGACGAAACGGAGAAAAACGAGGAAACGTTAACGTGTGCTAGCCTAAGCAAATGCGCATAACATGCATCAACCTGAATAGTGTTTCTATATGTATTTTATGTGCGCAATTCAGAAATGCTATCCAAATTTTTCAAATGCTTACCGATAATGTAAATGTGGACTTGCTAGATTAGCTGTGGCATTGGACGAAGAGGGAAAACCTAGCATGGTTACTTACTACGTTTTTCTGTGCCAGATGTGCTTTATCTATGAAATAGGTTGTCAACAAAACTGAAACAGTTGTCATTTCAAGAATGCTCCCATGAAGAAATTCTTTGTAGTTTTGTGCTCATCTTACCTTGCTGAACCATTTCCTGCTCTTAGTCTTGTATTTAAATCAAAAATGAAGATTTTTCCTTAAAAAAAGGCTGAAAAGTGGGTGGGGCTCCGCCCCCCCCCTGTTCCTACGCCTATGGACCAGACGGCTCATAAAGAAGTGATTTTCACGAGTGCTGTTCACGGGCACCTGCCGTAGCTGCAGCTCGGTGTTTACCCGTGGCCATAGATCCCGCGGCTGACCGCCGAGCCGCAGCTACCGCAGGTCCCCGTCAACAGGGCCACGGTCATTTTTTTTTAGAAGTTACACCTGCATATCTGCAGTATACGCCATCTCATCATCATGCTGGCTGACTACAGTGCCTCGGCATGCATCAGTATCTCTCGCTATCTTCAACACAACCCAAATCAAAATAGTTTATCCTACTAACGCACTTAACACACCCTAATATCGTGCTCTTAAGACGCATTCGGTATCGCAGAGGCAGACGTAGATTACACTGGGTCCCTCAGGAACTCCTTGGGAACGTCAGGAAGAGGTGCAGGGATACTGGATCCGGCACCCCTGCCACTCGTACCACCGGGGCCCGGCGGCTCGGCACACGCAGCAGATGTCGGCCCGCTCAAGGACACCGCGAAAGTTTGTCAGTGTGGCTCTCCACAGTTCAAAAATCGGGGTTCACACTGATAAGTTGCAATAGCGACTCCGGGGCGGTGAAGCGAAGTTTAGGTTTTCTAGAGCACATCAAGTTGCTACATGCATCAACCTTGATGTGCCATCAACCTCGCTCATGTAGCCAGCAGTAACAGACAGACCCAACCAGGGGAGTGGGCTTCCTAAAGCGCGGAAGTCGCGAATGGGCGAGAACCTGGGCCCTGTTTCACCGGTGATAGCAGGGCCCGGGCCCTGTTTCACCGGTGATAGCAGCAAGCTGCTATCACGTTTCGCGAGCTGACGTCATGTCGTGACGCCATACTGTTGTCGTAATGGGTAGTTCCGGCGCACGATTGCCGCGACCTTGGCGGCGGCATTAAGTGACGTATGAGCCTAAAAGTAAGAGTTTACGCAGTCATGATAGTATATATATTTTTGATATATATTTTTTCAATATGATGTATTTAAAAGAAGTTGGGTTTAGGAAAAATTTGGACATTAACTTCGAACATTTAGCTGATGACGTAAAACAATATTGCGGCAATCGTGCGCCAGAATTGCCCCTTACGTCAGCAGTATGACGTAATCACATTACGTCAGCTCGCGCAATTTGATAGTGGCTTGCTGCTATCACCGGTGAAACAGGGCCCCTGTTTCACCGGTGATAGCAGCAAGCTGCTATCACGTTTCGCGAGCTGACCTCATGTCGTGACGCCATACTGTTGTCGTAATGCAGGGGGCGTCGAAGTCTAGTTCCTACCAAACTGGCACTCCCATGCCTACGTCACCACGAGGACGCCCGAGGGCATTTACATGTTGAAGATAGGGAAATTGCCATAGTTTAGAGCCGCCTGGAGGGCAACCTTGAGATAGATGATAATGTAAATGTGTGCTAATATGATCATCAACATGTCATTTATCCAAATCCAGGGTCAATTAATCGATATCTTGTCACGTTTTCCAGTGGTGATGCGCTAACTTTCGTGGTTCTTGCAGCCAATAAGGGTGTTTCATAGTGCGATTCAGCCGCATTATCGACTTTAATGCCATAAACCGCCACGGAACATATGATTTGCAGCTCCCTGGCGTGATAGCTGCCAGTAGGGCTTCAGAGTCGGAGTCATGAAGTCGGTCGGAGTTGACAGTTCTGACCTGAGTCGTCGAGTCAGGGTCAGAGTCGATTTTATAAGCTGGAGTCTGAGTCAGTCACCGAAATTCGATCCCCTCCGCAGACCTTTCAGGGTTCCGTAGTCGGAGTTGTAGTCGGTCCGAGTCGACAGTTCTGACCAGAGTCAGAGTCAGAGTCGATTTTGAAAGCCAGAGTCGGAGTCGGAGTCACCAAAAATCCATCGCCTCCGCAGACCTGCTAGGGCTGTGGAGTCGGAGTCGGTCAGAGCCGACATTTGAAATCAAAGTCAGAGTTGATGTTTGAAAGTCTGAGTCAGAGTCGGAGTCATCAAGAAACCCATGGACGATCTGCAGTGCCATGCAGTAAGGGCGCTGCCGATCGTTGCCCTGAATTGCCTATGATTTATAAATTGAATGAATAGATGGCAATTAATTAGGTACCTTCTATTATTCATCCCTTGCCACTTGGAGGACTTACTTTCAGTAGAAAAAGGCGCATTATTTGTTTGTTTATTTATTGACAAATATTTTTTAAGCAGTTAGGGATACCGACACAAAACACAATGATAGCATTAGCACCTCGCTGGTGCAAATCATTGCTAGATAGATGTTGAAATGTGTTGCCATTGAAGTACCTACTGATTTTCCTGGCGGCTCTCGTTTTCAAGTAACTACTGGTCTTGTAAGATGTCTTGATTGCTCACCGTCTGGCGTCTAGTTCCAAGGTTTTCTGAAAGCTAATCAAACGTTACCATGGCTGCTCTTGATGGCATAGCGCTTGCTGGTTCTGGGTTCTTATTTGGTGGTTCTTGCGTCTGATCTTGTTGCTTCATGTTCCATCACATCACATTAAATTTCTAATGGAACAGACACTTCTACCTTTTATTTCACTCTCAGTCGACTTGCATTAACCCATGTGGCCTGCTGGCCCTTTTATTTCCACGATAGAATCTACCAATTATTGAAAAAGCCTCGGATAAAAAGCAAGAAGACTATGTCAAGTTAAATAATTGCGACGGTCCTAGAAAACCAGAAGAAAAATATCAAATAGCCTCTCCACCTCACTTCCCTCACTTCATAACAAAAACTTCGCAGCAAAACATGCGAAAGAGTCCTTAGCAACGCCTTAGCAACGCACTTGTCTGAAGTGCGCAATATGTGTCGCATCTGGAAAATTTAGTAGCTACTTGATTATTCAACTAGAGTTGGACTATATAAGCTAGGCTTTTATATAGAAAATAAGTGTTTGCTTATCGAATTTATAGCAACTGGTTGCTTAACTTCGAAATAATGATTTATTACAGAAAAAGCTTGTTTGCGACATATTTGTAAAGAAACAACGGAAATAGCTTTGACTCGTACGCTATTCTAGTACATTTTTGGTAGAAAACTTCGTCCAACCTTATGTTTTAGGGCCTTGTCGTAATGGGTAGTTCCGGCGCACGATTGCCGCGACCTTGGCGGCGGCATTAAGTGACGTATGAGCCTAAAAGTAAGAGTTTACGCAGTCATGATAGTATATATATTTTTGATATATATTTTTTCAATATGATGTATTTAAAAGAAGTTGGGTTTAGGAAAAATTTGGACATTAACTTCGAACATTTAGCTGATGACGTAAAACAATATTGCGGCAATCGTGCGCCAGAATTGCCCCTTACGTCAGCAGTATGACGTCATCACATTACGTCAGCTCGCGCAATTTGATAGTAGCTTGCTGCTATCACCGGTGAAACAGGGCCCAGCAAGCTACTATCAAATTGCGCGAGCTGACGTAATGTGATGACGTCATACTGCTGACGTAAGGGGCAATTCTGGCGCACGATTGCCGCAATATTGTTTTACGTCATCAGTTAAATGTTCGAAGTTAATGTCAAAATTTTTCCTAAACCCAACTTCTTTTAAATACATCATATTGAAAAAAATATATATCAAAAATATATATACTATCATGACTGCGTAAACTCTTACTTTTAGGCTCATACGTCACTTAATGCCGCCGCCAAGGTCGCGGCAATCGTGCGCCGGAACTACCCATTACGACAACAGTATGGCGTCACGACATGACGTCAGCTCGCGAAACGTGATAGCAGCTTGCTGCTATCACCGGTGAAACAGGGCCCTGAGCCCTGATCGGCGGCCGGCTAGTACTCTTGCCCGCGCTCACATACGTGCACGTTACCCCGGCAACGGGCTATTGACCAATGAGAAGCGAGAAAAGTGTTACGTCACTGCGATTTTTCATATACCTGTGCCCCCCGGACGTGACGTAGTGTGCTCGCGCGCGTGCAGGGTCTCTGCGATCGAAAAAGAGCGCTAGCAGCGCGCCACTCGACGCCGCAATTGTCAAAAGCGGCGTGTTAGTATGCTTTATTATGAATGATGTGTGTAAAAGTGAGTTTTTATGTTGTTTATTTGGAGGAAATGGTTGGAATAAATTAAGTTATTTTTATTTCTGTTGGTTGGAGTTTTTATTCAAAAGATTTCGGTCTATACCATTGATATTTACTGAAAATGCCTTCGCTTGAATAAATTGCAGATATTTGGCAACTGAAGTGTTGGGTAAGCCTAAATGATATGTAACAAGGTAAGAGACACCCTGATTATCATTTGAGAAACGAAAATATATGAATTTTCCTTATAAGACTCGCTCAATATGCTGCTCCGCGGTTTATGCCCCGAGGGTGTCCGAGGGTTCCCGTTAGTTTGTCGTTGGCGCTCGGCTCGCGCGCGAGCCGACGTCACCGCCTGTGACGTCGGCTCGCGAAATACGTCATACCCTGCACACAAAATAGCCGGCTGCCGAACAGCGCTCTGGTATGCGACACTTTATCACAATGCACATCAGAGCGCTGTTCGGCAGCCGGCTATTTTGTGTGCAGGGTATGACGTATTTCGCGAGCCGACGTCACAGGCGGTGACGTCGGCTCGCGCGCGAGCCGAGCGCCAACGACAAACTAACGGGAACCCTCGGACACCCTCGGGGCATAAACCGCGGAGTAGCATATTGAGCGAGTCTTATAAGGAAAATTCATATATTTTCGTTTCTCAAATGATAATCAGGGTGTCTCTTACCTTTTTACATATCATTTAGGCTTACCTAACACTTCAGTTGCCAAATATCTGCAATTTATTCAAGCGAAGGTATTTTCAGTAAATCTCAATGGTATAGACCGAAATCTTTTGAATAAAAACTCTAACCAACAGAAATAAAAGTACCTTAATTTATTCCAACCATTTCCTCCAAATAAACAACATAAAAAGTCACTTTTACACACATCATTCATAATAAAGCATACTAACACGCCGCTTTTGACAATTGCGGCGTCGAGTGGCGCGCTGCTAGCGCTCTTTTTCGATCGCAGAGACCCTGCACGCGCGCGAGCACACTACGTCACGTCCGGGGGGCACAGGTATATGAAAAATCGCAGTGACGTAACACTTTTCTCGCTTCTCATTGGTCAATAGCCCGTTGCCGGGGTAACGTGCACGTATGTGAGCGCGGGCAAGAGTACTAGCCGGCCGCCGATCAGGGCCCTGTTTCACCGGTGATAGCAGCAAGCTACTATCAAATTGCGCGAGCTGACGTAATGTGATGACGTCATACTGCTGACGTAAGGGGCAATTCTGGCGCACGATTGCCGCAATATTGTTTTACGTCATCAGCTAAATGTTCGAAGTTAATGTCAATATTTTTCCTAAACCCAACTTCTTTTAAATACATCATATTGAAAAAATATATATCAAAAATATATATATACTATCATGACTGCGTAAACTCTTACTTTTAGGCTCATACGTCACTTAATGCCGCCGCCAAGGTCGCGGCAATCGTGCGCCGGAACTACCCATTACGACAACAGTATGGCGTCACGACATGACGTCAGCTCGCGAAACGTGATAGCAGCTTGCTGCTATCACCGGTGAAACAGGGCCCAGGACTCAGCGCAAAATGGGATGTTCAGGTCTCTTTGGTCGAGGTAAAACCTAGCATGCAGCAACTTGTCACATGCTGTGTTTTTCTTTGTCAAACCGAAGACGCCACTGGACTTGCTATATTCTACCCCTTTAATATCTCAGTTTTGGAGAAAGTTATGAAAAAAGCGATACCAGAAACGAATCCGTCGTTCCCGAAAAACCCCGTTAGCATCTCTAACTCTCTAACTCATTTTTGTTTACATTGGCGCTTACTAACCCCGCGTTCGATGTCTCTCGGACGGCGAAGATTCTACGCCGTCCGGCCAATCACGTTCCATAACTGCAGCCGAGCCCCCTCTGACCTTTGACGGGATTGGCCGGATGATGTAGAATCTTCGTCGGCCGAGAGACATCGAACGCGGGGTATGTTTTTCCTTGACACGGTAGAGATGCCTACGCTGCTGCGCAGCATTTGTTTACTTTTGGTAAGAGGCGCCGCGGGTGCCGCAGTTTTTCTCAAGGACAACACTATTCGACCGCCATCCTTGCACTAGTCCTACCTTTCAGCAATTTCCGGGCTAATGGTGACGAAAACACCACCAGACAATTTGTCATATGCAGTTTTACTGGCTGTTCCAAGTATGGTGACCACAGGTAAACTAAGTGATTAAAGAAATGAACCAGATGTTTTAACCTACAGCGCCTATCATGAAGTCAGCGACTTTGGGGCCGATTCGAGACGGAAACCTCAAAGATTACCTTGCTTATAGGAAACGCCACCAGTCGATTCGCTACATGCGACTTTATCAGCCCTTTTGAAGTCCGTTGGCATAGTCATTGATGAAATCAGATGACCTTCGTCATCGTGACCCTGGGGCTGAGAGGTCATCTTGACGTTCTGGCCCACTGCATCCATCCTTTATAGTGTAAACGGAAACCAACAACTGCGCTGGGTCAATCGAGACGAAACGCCTTCACCTGACGCACCCTGCCCGGTCGAGAGAGGTGGGGCGGGTACCACTTGCACAGACGGTTTTAAGCGGTTGCTGTAAAGCGCTAGCCATAATATGTCTGGTCACTGACCTGACTCGCACGCACTGCAAGTCAACCACCCAAAGAATAACATTTTCCGATATTGACCATGGAACCACTGATTGCCTGAAGCATGCCGCTGCATCGTGCTGATAGCAAACCGTCTCGTGGCATCGACGGGACGAAACGCCACAAGGCCTGTATAAGAGGTTCACGAGACGCCAGCACACGTCGTCTTTTCAAAGAAATTTTGTCTCAGCGAAGGAGTGTGTAGCCTAGTGCCCGGGTGCTATGCTACACAGTGCTTGTTGCGAATGACACCGCAGACTCTGACCACCCGATCTTACCCGCATCCGGCTTAAACCGGTGATTGTTTAACTCGGAAGTTGAGAGTACCGCAGATTGATTTCGACTCAGTCCTCTCAGGTCTAGCGTAGCCCTCTCCCGCCGCTTTCAGTTGTTTGAAGAAACGCGGGTCAATCAACGTGGAGCTCCCCGAGCACGAACTCTCCGCCGAGGAGTCACAAGAGGCCTTATCCATTAGACTAAACGGAAGACTTGCCAGGGAAGTTGGGCTGGTCCGCTGGCGTTGTCCCAATCAGTGAACAAGACAAACCACCATTGCTCGGCAAAACCAGGAAACTATAACCAACTTTCCACTATTCATATGAAAAAGAAAAGGATCGCAAAATACAATACAAATGCACGTACATGCTGGCAAAAAATGTCATGTGCTCAAAGAAATGCGCAATCTTTGCACACACAACAGCCAAACCACCTAATGCACGCTCCAGTCTTGCTGGCTAGGTGCGTGTCATTGCTAAATAAACACAGACACATTCATAAGAGGCAATATGGACCTAGTAAACAGAAGTGAGCGTACATTCGATACACGAAAAATACAATATAGCAAGAAGCATCAGTATCAACTATCGGTCACGACGCTGCCAGCCCATGCGCGAGTCTCTCGTGGTGTCGTCACACGAGCGAGACTCGGCGGGCCGGCGTGACTGCCACCTTCAAGGGCCGCGAGCGTGGTGCGTCCGCGACGGTTTCGGCTGGCTCCTCCTCCTCCCAGCCGATTTCGACCTCGTCTGTCACCGTCTGTTCCAGAAGCAGATCTGCCAGCTCCATCGGATCGACAGCAGTCTCGTCCTCTGCGGCGTCATCCTCGTCCACCACCACCTCTCCACTCACCAGCGCGTCGAACAACTCGCCACTGCCACCAGTATCGCCAGCGTGATCTACGACGCCCTCAACGCTAACCCGTTGATAAAATGGATGACGTTCCGCAGGAACCGGCTCTACCTCTGTGTTCTGAATTGTCCTACGAGCATGACCTGAAGGCATGCCGCGCAGAACAAGCAGTTCACCCTGACGCTTTTGTACCATAGTGGCATGGCTGTTTGCTTCTGGTGAAGGTACTGCCTCAAGCTCCTGACTTCGCTGGTCGAGTAGTGTCTGATACAGACATCGCTTTTGGGCAGACGTCTGTGCCGCAACTGATGCGTGTCGCAGTGCCGGCAGCGGCAGACGCATCTGTAGACGTAGGTGCTCGTACTGGCCACGTGTAAAAACACGACGCAGCGCCACGGCCCTACGCAGGTCCTCGACGTCCCAGTCGTCGGCGCGCCGCCTGTGGCCAAGCAGCACCTCCGTCTGGCGCGGTGTGAACACCGAGAGCAGTTCGACGCGCTGCCGGTTGGCCTCTAGGGCTCGCTCGTTGGCTGCCACGGCACTCTCCAGGAGCGCAGTGCGAAGTTGCAGCATCTCGTCCCGGAGTCGTTGCAGCTCACCATTGGCCTCCTCCAGGGTGGACGGCGACAGCAGGAGGTCTCCGGCGGCCGCGCCGTCCGCGTCCGCCAGCGCGGCGTCCACCGGCGGGAACAGCGCGTGCGGCGGCTCGTCGCCGGCGTCGCGCTGCTCCAGCTCGAGCTCGTGCCGCGCCTGCAGCGCCTGCAGCTGGTCAGTCTGCCGCTGCAGCGTCAGACGCAGCGAGCAGAGTCGCTGCTGGCCACTGAGCACGGTGCGCAGCCGTCGCGGCAGCTGGTGCTCCCCGCCCGCCACTACAGTCACGGACTGCGCCGGCCGGCCCCTCCGACCTGCCATAGCGTCAGAGCTCCGACCGACCGAGGCAAAGGTGACTAACGAGCTCCGGCCGGCCGCTCCAGCTCCGGTCAGCAGCTGCAGCGACTCGGGGTCACCGTCGTCGCCGCTCTCCGCCGCCAGCTGCTCGGCGAAGCCGCGAGAGGTGAACACACGCACCGGGTCGGCGCTGCGCGACGGTGCTGGCAGCTCCTCTGAGCCCGGGGCTGCGGCTGGCAGGTGACCGCGCGCACGACGCATCTTAAACTGGTGACGCAGGTTTTGAACTGGGTCGCCATCCAGCTGGCCAGTCTCGTATGCATGCAGAGCCTCGCTAACATGCTGCCGTCGCTCCTGCTCCTTCTGAGGGTCCCTCGGTACGGCTGGTCGTATCTCCCGAGGCCCAGTCCTGTGCGTGACACAATGGTCAGTGAGTATGTTTTAGATAACAGCCAAATTCAGCACCAAAAAGGTACGTTACTGGAAGATTACATGTTTCATTCCTTCACCATTTAGTAAATCAGATATACTATTGACAGATAAATCGACATAGTGTATGTTAGTACAAAATATGAGACATATCCTCGAGTACATATCCATGTCGTTAGTTGTACTTTCCCTGTCAGTAAATGTCTTAAAGAACAGGCTCGACGCTCACTTGTCTAGCCACATTGACATTCCTTCTTAACCCGCGCCCTGGTGGGGTCTGTTTATAACGCGACCTGGTGGGGGGGGGGCTATTTTTTGCCCCCCTCGTATCTCCGAAACTACTGGACGGATCCGCAAAATTCAAACGGCGTTCGATAGCCCTGTCAAATTTGTCGAAGGAAACCAAATTTTATTGACCTCGAGGTCACCGATGACGTCACAGGTCAGGTCAAAGATAAAATGTTTCACCGTTCACGGGGCTTCTAGGGAAAGCGCTATAACACCGAGTAAAACGCATTTTGTCGAAAATCAGCGATAAGACGTCAGTTGTCTAGTACATATGTTGCTATTAGAGGTCACTGGTCATACCAGGTCAGGTCACAGGTCAGGTCACCAAAGGTCACCAAGGGTCACCACATGAACCCAACTTCACTAAGGTTGTGCGATGCATGTTTTATGGCCAGTTTTTCATTTCCAACCCAAAGGTGTTGGTTATAAGACCATCAGGTACGGTTTAGGTCACTTTCTGGTGGAGGTCAGGTCAAGGTCAGGTCAAAAAAGGTCAAATTTCAAAGTTGATATTTTTGCATAAAATGGGTATCGATTCGATGCAGCTCGTCACGGGGAGTCTAATGGTGGTCTTTGTTTTGCACTACGAGGTCTAGAATTGCTAAAAATTGAGTTTGAAAATTTGACGTCATCAATTTTGAACAGTTTTTTCGCTATAACTTCGCCAAAAAAAGAGGTATCAATCTAAAATTTGGTATGTGGATGGAAGGCGGTAAGGACTATCACATATATTCCGGTTTTTGCGAAATTAAAAAAACTTTTTGGATTTTTTGACTATTATATCCCAAAAATCTATTTTTTTGATTTTTGGGGGTCAAAATCAAAAAAATTCAAAAATTCGAGATTTTGTAGCCCTGTCAATTCTACAGCTTTTATGTCCTAAACATTTTTCTGTATTTGCAAAGCTATAGGCCTGACAGCTCTTCCCGCGAAACCCTTTTTTGGGTCGAAAACGGCAGAACATGACGTCACTCTGACGTCATTTCCGGCAAACCTATCATAGCTTTTGGAAAAATTTTTGGTCACAATGTGTAAAATTGATGTCCGGGAGGGTACTGAAAGTTTGGTGACGATCGGCGCAGCGGTTCTGGAGATTATATCGAAAAGTCTGGAGGGGGGGGGGGGCAAAAAATAGCCCCCCCCACCAGGTCGCGGGTCAAGATGAAGATATAACAGAAATTGAAATTTGAAAGAGCTCGCCGAGAACATGTCCAATCAGGCCGTTAGCCTCCCCAAGTCCCGCCAACGGTATGGTAAGGTACGGGGTAAGGATGTTAGTGGTTTACAAACTGTGCAATGAAGGTTAAGAAAAAGGTAAAGAGCAGTTTAAGTGATATTAGGTCTCAAGGCTCAGCACAAAAGAGCTTTGGTCTTTGGAGCTGGAACAGCATCAATAAAGAAGATTCAAACATGTCAAGTTATATTCATATTTCGGTGTTCAAACTAGCTTTACTCGACCATTGGTTTTGCTTACCAAAAATCTTTTAAAGGTTCATGAAAACATTGTATTTTGCTCATGATGAAAATGATTCTTGAAAAGGATAAATTTAATGTTTCTCTACGCTTTTTCCACAGAAAAAGGATTTCTATTAAAGTAGCAAAAACCATGATAACCCATGTGGTGAAGTTTCTCAGCCCAACCTAATCTGGCATAACTGAACCATGGATTACCTACTACCTGGATCGGCAACTCCGCGGAATTCCCATTGTATTGCGCGACCGCCCGAAAGTGCTGCCACCTATCGAGCAGACTGATCCCTGCTAAGGACAGCCCGCCGCCGCCGCCCAGTCAGGCAGCGGCCAATACCAGCAAAGTCCGAAAATGACCGGCAAGTTACATGGCCTGAACCAGCCGCGGCTAAGTTTGGCATAGGCCAACAGTGTCGGGTTCCGGAAGAGCGGTCCAGGGCGGTTCCATAGACTATGTATCGTTTTGGAAAGAATGGTGTGGTGGGTCGTTTACCGAGCGCGACTGGCCGATTTTACCTCAGCACGTCGTATTGTTAGCTCTCATGGCCAGGCCAGGCGCCTTCTGCCAGCTGCCTGAAAATACCTTCGATCAAACGACTTTGTCTTATCACTCGGGTTGCCCCTGATCAGCTTGAGCATTCCAACTCAGTCGTCGGTAGACCGCAGAGGAAATGTGCCGTCCGCCGTGAAACATCCAAATCATTGCTACAGCCATTTTGACTGACTTATAAAGATCAAGACAAATGCTGTCATATCGATTAACGAATATCTGCACCACTGACAATTTCTATCAAGAAGCATTCCAGGATTATAAGCTTACCATACACCGTTTCGTTAAAAAACTGTTTCCATATTGAACTTCTATTTGCCGTCGCATGAGCGAATTGCCTACTGAGTACAGGCTGAAACCGATTCTTTCCGCAGTCAGAAATCATGTGCGAGACCGAGAGCCTATTCAAATAAACCCCGGTCGCACTCGCATCCATAACACGCACCTCCTTGCGTGCGATTGATGCTATTGCAACTTAATGGATTTGGATAGGTTCTCGTGTGCGATTTCCTGACTGTGGAAATAGTCTGTCTCGGCCTGAAGTTCAGAATTTAACACAGGTTCAATGACAACTAAGGTGAACGATGACACACAATGTATACAATGCATATTATTGCATAGACTGATAGGTAGGTTTCGAGAAACGACGTGCCACATGCCTACTAAACGGTGTCGTAGCACCAAGCTGGTTTCCAATTCACACCTACCACCAGAGTATATCGGGAATAAATGCAAACACGATGCACACGAACGCATTATCCGCTCAATGGGTATGCCCGTAGTGGGTATGTTAGTCAGTTACAAACGCTGTAATACCTTAAACATTTTCGGCCGAGCCAGTTCACAGTTCACACCCCGGCTGCCTGCTGCCGTCACGTCACACGTGTCCGCAGTGGGCGTGCACCTGCGAGTGCGTGCATCATAATTCACATCACAAATCACAGGATGCCAATTCAAGTCAGCACACCGTGGAAACTGAACCCATCTCTTTGATCTGAAACGAAGAGTGAGAGAGGGAAATTAGATACCTGAGCATACCGTAATGAAATGGAGAGTGAGGGCATTCCAAGGCAAACTGTTTCCCCACAACATCACAAAAAGTATTTTACATTGCGATGATGTTGGCAAAAAATAAAATAAATAATACCTTGACAAGATACTCCCAAACAAAAGTACCCAAAAGCTTAACACCTTATCTGCTAGGCTTACATAGTTTAAAATGGCTTTATCTTACTTAAATCTATCTGCTATCTACACACAGTTTGGCTAGCACTCGTTCTAAAAAGGTGATTGTTATATATCATTCAATAGAGGGAAACTCACAAACTTCTTCGTACTACTCTGGACCTTTTGGCTTTGAGAAAAGAAGGAAGCTGATGTCAGGGACCAGGGTCGGCACTCTTTTGTCATTTGTGGTTGACAATGGCACTGGCTGCCATTAGGCTTTCTTTTTACTGTCAAATGGTTCAGTTTTTCAGGCTGAGAACATGATTTATTTATCATTCAACTATTTATGAAATCAGGACATTGGCAAGCAGGTTATAAAAATTAGCTGAAATGACATGATGCCAGTCAACTGCTCCTGAAGTGTGTTGCACTCTAGTCAGCCGTTCAGAGAAATACGTAGGAAACTGATATGGGTGAGCAGTGAGTCTGAACAGTGAGCAGTTGACCAATTTATAGGTAGTTATTGGCACTACACAATATAAAACAGAAACCATTTTCAATAGTTGAACAAATATTGAGTTAAAAAATAATGGCACACTAACTGATTTTGCTAAACTAAAAACTTAACAAAAACTTAAGCAATTCACAACTAACAATGCATCATCCACCACCTATGCGCTGCCAAGACCGAAATTGTATCACAAGCAAAACCATGGCTATATCAGCGGCATGTATAAGCTTGAGATATGATGTGTCAAACATATAACAAACATATAAAAACATAAAATTAAACATATAAATAAGTGATTAACCATTCAATTACGGAAATTATACGATTTTTAACGACATATGGCGAGAAGCAATGTGCGCCAGTATCGTCAACAGCCGCTCTTTACAGTCATATTTTAGGCCACTCAGACCCTCCAACCACAAAAAAACCTTACCAATCTTACCTTGCCATCTTCCTCCATCTTCTGAAACCTTCCAATCTGCTCCAAAGGGGCTTAACTTTTCAAAAAACAAGGCAAACGATCCTACGACGCGACGCCGACCATTGTTTTGAATAGCACCCGCTCCCCCGCGTCCTTAGCGCTCGACACCACTGCCACCTAGCGGTGGTCACAAACATCGAGGAGTTGCCGATCCAGGTACTACTTCATCCATGACTGAACCTAGCCTTCTGCCAGAGGCAGGTGCAGGGCAGAGTAAGGTTTGATTTGGTGAGGAATGGTTGCATGAGGCTAGGCTGAGTTGTGTTAGATCAGGCTACCTCATCTCAATGGATTAGCATATTTAACAAATAACAACAGTTTCTTTATTCAGGGCATGGAGAACATGGAAAGGAACTGAATTAGTAAACATATATTATAATTTATTGGTCGTTGAGAAATCCCTCAGAACTAATTGTTGGCACAATGCCTACTTGTTTCATGTTTGCAAAGTGGTAACACACAATGATAATGATAAATACAGCTTAGATACCTACCTTATCCTTTTCCATCCAGCCAAAACTAGTGATGGAACAGCATCTGCCTTGAGGCGGGGTTTTACGATTGAATTACCAGCCACTAGCAGGTGATACTTCATTTCATTTTTATAATCAGACTTCCGGAAATGAGCAGAACATATTTTAGCATGCTTGCCTGACTTACTAGTCAGTAAATCTAAGCGACCACAGACTTCAAGCCAGTGCTTAGCCAGTGACTCGTCCTTTGGCAGAGAATGAAAAGAGACACGCCCGCCAGAACCTGAACCTGAACCTGGCCTGCATCCCGGCACCAGGCAGGGTGGCATTGCAACAGACCACCAAAACAAAGATCCTTTTACGAAAAATCACAATAGTCAAAGTACGAATTCCCCAATCGCCGTTCCAGAATCAACAGAATTTGAAGTTGACGTGCGTGCACGAGCCAAAGCGTAATTTGTGTCACACCAAAGGCCATCGCAAGGCGGCCATCGTTTGGTCCGCGCTTATTTTGAAGCTACTGCGCAGATTTCGCTTCACCCTCACCACTTAGGCGCCCCTAGCGGTTAATATGTAAAACAATTTATTATTTTGGTCACTCACACGAGTTACGACAAAATACAGGCAAAATTTTGTAAGTGTAAAACTTAAGTATAAAATAGACACATTATCAGAATCTTGATTTAATAATTCAGGCCTAGTTTCATATGAATAAACAAAAGAAAAGAACCTGATCCGGAGAAGTAAGCATGGTAATCATAACCACAAATGATTTCAGCAAGCGCGTCAGGCAAGTTCGTGCGCAAGTTCGTGCGTGTGGGTCTGGGTGTTGTGGGGCGTGGGTTACTGTCACAGAAAATAATATCCAACTCCAAGGTCTGGTTGTCTTTCTCTGTGCTTGGCCTCATGTAGGTAGCTCTTCATCTAGCCTAACATGAATATACGCACATGCATGGTCGATTGAATTACTTTTGAATGCACCTCGACCTTGATTTGTTAGGACGCCGGTGAAAACAGGGCGCCGCAGGGCATATTAGTCACGTTAGACTTATGCAATTTGAATTATGCAGTGGCGTATCCAAGGGGGGATCCTGGGGGTCCTAGGATCCCCCCTGGAGCCTAGAAAAGTTTTTTTATAACACGGAAAAAAATTGAAATGACTTCAAGGGCCCTTTTGACCACTTCCCATTTTATTCGCTAAAAGAAAAAGTATTGTAGAACTCTTTTAGGGACCCTTTGAGGATTATTAGAGGACACATTTAGGCCAATGATGGACCTTGTGAAGTATACAGAGGGCCCTCTCAGGTACACAGAGGGCCCTTTCAGGCACACAGAGGGCCCTCTCAGGCACACAGAGGGCCCTCTCAGGCACACAGAGGGCCCTCTCAGGCACACAGAGGGCCCTCTCACGCTCACAGAGGGCCCTCTCAGGCACACATAGGGCCCTCTCAGGCACACAGAGGGCCCTCTCAGGCACACAGAGGGCCCTCTCAGGTACATAGAGGTCCCTCTCAGGCACACAGAGGGCCCTCTCAGGCTCACAGAGGGCCCTCTCAGGCACACAGAGGGCCCTCTCAGGCACACAGAGGGTCCTCTCAGGCACACAGAGGGCCCTCTAGGGCTCACAGAGGGCCCTCTCAGGCACACATAGGGCCTTCTCAGGCACACAGAGGGCCCTCTCAGGCAAACAGAGGGCCCTCTCAGGTACACAGAGGGCCCTTTCAGGCACATAGAGGGCGCTCTCAGGTACACAGAGGGTCCTCTTAGACACACAGAGGGCCCTCTCAGGCAAACAGAGGGCTCTCTCAGGTACACAGAGGGCCCTTTCAGGCACACAGAGGGCCCTCTCAGGCTCACAGAGGGCCATCTCAGGCACACATAGGGCCCTCTCAGGCACACAGAGGGCCCTCTCAGGTACACAGAGGGCCCTTTCAGGCACACAGAGGGCCCTCTCAGGCTCACAGAGGGCCCTCTCAGGCACACATAGGGCCTCTCAGGCACACAGAGTGCCCTCTCAGGCACACATAGGGCTCTCTCAGGCACACAGAGGGTTCTCTGAGACACACAGAGGGTCCTTTCAGGCAAACAGAGGGCCGTCTCAGGTACACAGAGAGCCCTCTCAGGCACACATAGGGCCCTCTCAGGCACACAGAGGGCCCTCGCAGGCAAACAGAGGGCCCTCGCAGGCAAACAGAGGGCCCTCTCAGGTACACAGAGGGCCCTCGCAGGCAAACAGAGGACCCTTTCAGGCACACAGAGGGTCCTCTCAAACACACAGAGGGCCCTCTCAGGTACTCAGGGGGGCCTCCCAGGCACACAAAGGGCCCTCTAAGACCAGCAGAGGGCCCCTTAAGACGAACAGAAGGCCCTCTGAGGTACGAGGGTCAATGTCAGGCCACAAGGTACCCTAAGAGGCCACCAGACGGCCCTCTTAGATCAAAGATGGTCCCTGGAGGTCACCAAAGGGCCCTCTGAGGTGAACATAGGGCCCTCTGAGATCGAAGAGATCAAAGAGATCAAAGAGGGCCCTCTAAGGCGAATGGAGGACCTTCAAGGGCGACAAAGTGCCCTCTGAGGCCACTGGAGGGCCTTCTGAGGTGATATGAGGCTATGTCAGACCACCATGAGCCCTATGAGGTCATCAGGCCCTCTGAGATCAAAGAGGGTCCTTGGAAGTCATCGGAGGACCCCTTAAGGCTCATTGAGGCGAACAAAGGCCAGAGGGCCCCCTTAGACACCACAAAGAAGTAAAAAAGATCCCTCTGAGGTCAAAGACAGCTCTCTGAGATGTAATAGGGCCATTTGAGGCCTCCGAGGGCCCTCAGATGCCACAGAGAGGCGCCCTCTGATGCCAAAATAGGGTCCTCTGAAGTCTAAATCCACCAGAGGGCCCTCTGAGGCGAACAGAGGGCCCTAACATCCACCTCAAAGAGGGCCCTCTGAAAATCAACTGGCCCTCGGAGTCAGTGTCCCAAAATCGTATTTTGGCTTGGGTGTCAGAGGGGGGAAAGGTCACCCAAAAGAGGGATAAGAGTGGACAATTGTCAGTCACAGGGCAGTCGGAGCCCTCTGAGAAGGCCACTTGAGCCTTACAACAGAGGGCCCTCTGAGGTGATATGAAGGCTATGTCAGGCCACTATGGGCTCTATGAGGTCATCAGGCACTCTGAGGAAAAAGCTGGCCCTCTGAGGCGAACAGAGGGCCCTTGGACAATCAGAGAACTTTTTAGGTCAACTAGGGGCCTTATGAGGCCAGCAAAGGGACCCTTTGGGACACAAACAGGGCCTCTCAGGCACCCGGAGGGACCTCTTTTCTAAGGCAAACAGGGGGTCACCTTAGATGATATGAGGGCTATTTTAGGCCACTAGGGGCCTCATGTATTAGACCAACATACGGTCATTTGAAGTAAAAGAGAACCTTTTGAGGTAAAAAGGGCCCCTGGAGAGAAAACAGTGGGATCTTTCAGGTACCCAGAAGGTCCATGGAGGCCACTAGAGGACCCTTTAAGGCCAGTGATGGTCTTCAGAGGCCATCAGAGGGTCCCTCTGAGGGTAACAGAGGGTCCTTAAGACGACCAGAGGCCCTCCGTGAAAATGCGGGCGTCACAAGGCCCGGTTTGCATCAAAGGTCAGGTAGCTATGCCCAGTTTTGGCTCTCTGTTGCCTGCCGACGTGTTCCGAGCTGTCGCAAAAAAAAAAACGATGTGGTGGCACCCACGCCCCACCCCCCCCCCCCCGGCCGGCCAGGGTCCTTCTAACCAGGGATTCGGAGGCGTGGAAATTTCAGACGGCTCCTGCTCCGGCTCCGGAGAAAAAAAATCGGTTTCGGCTCCGGCTCCGGCTCCGGCTTCGACTCCAGTACTCAGTTCATCCTTTATACAAATACATACGGGTGTAAAAGAAAAGATGAAGGATTGGTTGACGTTGCTTCTGTATTTGCATAACAAGGCTATTTTGAATACCACATATTTTACTGCCTAGTGCCTTGTAGGTACTGTGAAACCGAACTAGGTCAATAATGTTTTCCTCTTAAAAAAGCAAAAAAAAAAACAGCCGGAGTCGCCGCCTTTTTTGCCGCTCCGGCTCCGGCTCCGGGCTATATTGTTTCACGGCTCCGGCTCCGGCTCCAGGCAAAATATGCCGGCACCGGCGGCTCCTCCGGCTCCAGCTTCGGCTCCGCACCCCTGCATCTATAACTCGGCTTCTGAGCCACGTACCAACACGCCTAAGGCAGTGTTCCAAGGGACGCAAGCAAACAATAATGACGAAATTACGCCTGTCACTTTTTAGATCAGTTCAAAATTCAGTTCACATAGGTCATCCAAGGTTAAATTTCGCCAATTTTCAGGTCCAATTTCGACAATTTTCAACAAACCACCGCATGATTCGGAAATGAATAGAGCTACAGTACCGGGGAAAAGCGTAGTTAATAGCTCTTTTAACACCCCTTTCGCCGTTTCCATCCTCAGGACATTCAAATCCTTCTCCTCCATGCCGCAACCCCTGATCCGGACTGGACCTGGGCGGGCAACTTTATTCCATGCGGGCGGCTCCCATTGGAGCGCACTGCAGCTCCTAAGGAAGCACACTCGTAACCGGGTGCAGTGAGCACTTGGGAGGCTGGTCGGCCTGTCCTGTTGGACAGGCTCAGCCCCAGTGAGTCACCAAGGTGCCCGCCCAGACCAATGTCTCCCTCAATTCCTATCATCCCTCCGGCCCTGAAATGGTCTCGTTAGACCGAAAGCCGAAGGGCCTGGATCCAACCCAACAAAACAAACAAAGCTCTTTTAACGCTCTTTCTGTAAACTGTGCTCAGATTTGACCTAAGCCTGTTAATTCTACACTTTTTTATATAGGAACATTTTCATGTTTCAACAGCTCTGTAGGCCTGATAGCTCTTCCTGCGAAACCTTTTTTGGGTCGAAAATGGCAGAACATGACGTCATTCTGACGTATTTGCGGCCAACCTATCATAGCCTCTGGAAAAAGGTCACAATGTGTAAAATGGATGCCCGGAGAGGTCCTAAAAGTTTGGTGGCGATATCTGCAGTCATTTAGGAGATAGCTACGGAAGAGGACAGGGGACCGTTTCGCCCCCCCCCCCCCTACGGGGCGCGGGCTAATGCCCTTTCACCTCAGGCTTCAAGGGCCCTTTTGCCACTTAAGGGCCCTTTCAACCCAGTCAGTCAAGGGCCCTTTTGACTTCGGATCCCCCCTGAGAGAAATCCTAGATACGCCGCTGGAATTATGTAACATGCAAATGCATGCTTAAGCCATTGCTTGTAATATTCGATGATGATCATTGCCAAAATTGCTAGTTTTTTTTTTTTTTGTTGTAGCAGACATCAACAAAAGAATGAAGTCAAGTTTGGATACAGATACAATACTGTAAAGGACTGAAACAATAGCTTTACTCTGGAGCAAGGCAGTATCTCTGGAGTCTGGACTGCCATGCTATCTGAAGGGCTCTAAATTGGTCATAGTCATGACCTTCCACAATTTGTGACATCCAGTGTTTCTTCAGTGTTTTGGCTATTTGATGTTCTATCACTAGGTTTCTGTAATGTACCTATTTATATTTTGACAGGTAGGTAGCAGATAGTGGATTTTGTAAATTGTGAAAGTGAAGTTAATAATTTGTTTGTAAAAGTCCTATGGTTAAAGGTGTTCTATAGTCATTCATCATTAAATATCTCTTTTTTAACCTACATGTATTTTGTCATGCCATGCTTTGTTATTAACTATGCTATGCATATCTGTTGTGGATCATCTAAGAAGAATAACTACATACATTAAATTTTCACAGATTTGACATCATACCATGAAGAGAAAACATGGTTCTGAGGAGGCCCAGCAAGGCCACTCAACTGAAACATGCAACAATGGCCCAGAGACAGGTCCATCTGGGTCCCAGACCCGATCCATATTTGACCCTGAGCCGGTCGCGAAGCAGCCTGCTCCGGCTCCAGCAGCAGAATCGTCGCCACTGAGCCGCGCCCAGAAAGCGCAGATCGAGCGCAACCGCCAGCGCGCCCTGATGCTGCGCCAGGCGCGGCTACGCGAGCACCCGTCGCAGGCGGCGCTCGACGGCGGCTGCGACGGACGGGTGCTGCGCGTGCAGGGCACGCGGCTCGTCGACTCTGGCGGCGGCTTCTTCATCGACGAATCGGAGTCGGAGGCGCCGGCCGGGCCGCCGCCGCTGCGCGAAAAGCCGGCCCCGCTGCACATCACCGATCGGCCCGACTGCGACGAGTGCGGCGCGCCGGTAGCCTCCTCGTTCCTGGTGGACAGCTTTGACTGGCCCGTGTGCGACCCATGCCAGAAGGAGAACAGCGACAAGTATGCCCTCATCACGCGCACAGAGGCCAAACAGGAGTACATCCTCAAAGACGAGGACTTTGACAAGCGCGAGCCAGAGCTGCGCTTCATCACCCGTCGCAACCCGCACAACCCGCGCTGGGGCCAGATGAAGCTCTACCTACGACTGCAGATCGAGGAGCGGGCGCTCCAGGTCTGGGGATCGGAGGAGGAGCTCGAGCGACAGCACGAGCTTCGCGACAAGAAAAAGGAAAAGATCAAGGTAAACAAGTTCAACAAACGTGTGAAGGAGCTTCGTATGGCGGTGCGTAGCAGTGTGTACAAGCGGGACCTGACGGGACACGAACACACCTACGGTGAGGAGGTGCACAATGATGCAGACGATACCTACACACGGACTTGTACGGAGTGCGATCACTCACAAACATACGAGAAAATGTGAGCCAGACTGGTGCGGGACTGTTCTGATGAACGCAGCAAGACGAACAAAAGTGAAGCAATATGATGAATGGTGAAAATAATGTTGTACTTGTTAATTGATCTTTTTGGATGAATTACTGCGCGTTCTGTGGAGTAATTTTTTAGTGGATCGGAACTTAGCCACGATAATTTGATAGGTAATGTTGAGGAACACTACAAAACGCTACGTGCTCGTTTTAAGAGTGCGCTAATATTTAGGAGTGTAGTGGGTAGGTCGAATCTTTGACGGATGTTGCTGGCATCATTTTTTCGTCTTTATGCATTACGCTTCATTATGCCCCGTGCTGCTCTTAGCTTCTTTGTAATCAGTATTCGCACATTTTTTTATTGGTGTTTCCGTCGCCGATGTTCCAAACAGGGTGCATGTTCGCAAGCCGTAACGCGATATGTTGAATAATATAGCTGTTTTATAACACAAATAATTCATCTGCATACTGTCATGAACAAATCCATACTCCTGGATATTCTATGGCATATGGCAAACACCACTTTAATGTAAATACGTTTATTGTAGTACCAAATGTAAGGACAAAAGCCTCTTCGAAAACAAAGGCGTGAGCTCCGCTCCCAACCAAAGTACCCCGATGGAGAGCAGTCTGGCAGTAAATGTTATCGGACGACCTCGAGCGGAGCGAACGCGCCGATTGAGTTACCCCCCCCCCCAAATCAATCTCCCACCCAGTCCCCTCCCCCCTCCCTACGTTACGCCATCCATGCGTGTGTCTGAACACAATTATTTGCGGCCTCACGGACAGATTAGGAAGCCGGCGGTAATCGCCCCGTTAAAATGTAACCTGCTGACGAGATCCGGGTCGGTTACAGAGCTGTCACACTGAGGGTGGCGCCCACACTGTACGGGTGATCACCAACGACTCTGGCTCCCCAGCTGATCAACTAAGCACACTAAACACCTGAGCGCGACCGGGCGAGTCTGCGGCACGGAATCAGAGAGCACGGGAACGTTATTTGGTCTGAGCTGTGTTCTGGCAGTGCGTTGTGTTTTGATTCTCTGGCAGTGTCTGTTGAGTTAGTAGGACTCCAAAATGTCTTCCATTTCCTGTAAAGAAAGATACGTCTTTCATATTGCGTCGCAGTCACACAAACAAATGTCCGAAAATGCATGTATACCCACCTGAAATGAGTTACGCCTCTCATCACCTTTACTGCTTGGCTCCATCCGAAAGCCATATAAATCCCACCGATTACCATTGAACATCCCAGGCAATCAGAGAACAAATTAAAATCATAAACAGGTGAACACTGTTAGTCTTTAATATGATCAATTAAATTTCTGATCATTTGCCACCAGACCATGACCCCTCCATCATGGATTTCAAAACACGGACTAAGGTGCCTCAAATGATATGATGGTGCCAAAAGCATGGATAAGGTGATTGTCGCTTAACGGGCGGTGGATGTTCTACGCGCAAACAATAACCATATTGTTTTCTAGGAGATACCAATTACCAGGGCACTAAAGGGAGACATCATGGAGATTGGAGATATCACCAAACCAAAACGTGTTCCCGCACCGGGAATCGAACCCGGGCCTCACGGGTGAGAGCCGTGTATCCTAGCCACTAGACCATGCGGGAGGATGGACGCCACGTGGCACGCTAACCATGTGAACAAACAGTACAATGCAGCCCACCCCCACCCTCATTCATTCATTCATTCATTCATTCATTCGTTCATTCATAACCAAGTGCCCTCCCAGCACAGCTTACACACCTTTTAAAAAGCGTTTCCCTGCCTAGCCTGCCAATCCTCCGTACCTTGAGCATATCGTTGCGTTGTCTTCTAAAGGCGAAGCGCCTGACGGTGGCGGCCAGCCGATCGTGAAGCTCCTCGAGCTCAGCCACTGTCCAGCCAGCCGTCAGTGAGACGGAGCGTTCACACAGCGCCAGCAGCCGAGCGCGGTCCACCTGTGGACAGTTCACATGGGGTAGCTGTGAGTGACACGGGGTCATCGGTATCGAGAGCAGGCAGTGGTGACGGCGGGACCAAGCTGTCACAACCGGGAGATCTCTGCTGCTGCGATGCACCATGTCGGCGGTCGGCACAGTTCAATGTCTACATCCTATCTTATCATCAATAGCTATGCGATGGTCTTTTCAGACCAAAGGAGCCTGCTCCTAACATAACGGACAAACACACAAACAGACATGCAATACGGAAAGATAGCACGCGACGGAGAGTGCGGTGCACTGCCGTTGAGAGAATGGAGAGAGGGGACGCACCTGCGCCTCCTGCAGGCTGCGAAGCCGTGGCCGAGCAAGAATGGCAAAGGAGAGGAAATAATTGCAGAGCAGGGAGGGAATGAGACGGAGCTGTGTGAGCTTAGGTGACTGGGGCAGCAGGTAGAACAAACAAAACACATACAGCCAGGCGTATGGGGACGTTTAGGGGACGTAACATGCGAAGTAACGTAACATTACTTCGCATCGCGAGGATATGGTTTGCGCACAATTGGCAAGTTCAACTGATGGTGATTTCGAGTTCATGTGACGTCTAAAAGCAGAGGTAGACAAGAAAACGTGAATTTAAGGTCACTTGAGGTCAATATGGGGTCAGTTCAAGTCACAGGTGTTATGTCGGGTCACAAGTTACGTTGGGTCAGGTCAAGTCACAGTGGTCACTGGTCATCTCAGGTCACAAGGGCCACATGAGGTCACGCTTGGTCAGGGCAGGTCACAGGGGTCACCTCAGGGCCTCGTTTCATAAAGCGAGTCCGTAACTTACGGCGGTTTTTGGTCTTGTATTGCAAGCGCACGTGAAGCGATGTCGATAGTTTGAATCGTTGAATTTACTTATCTTGCAAGCAAGAACAGAAGGGAGAAGGGAAAATAAATTTATCACTTCACATGCGCTTGCAATACAAGCCCAAAAAATGGCGAAAGTTACGGACTTGCTTTATGAAACGAGGCCCAGGTCACGCTGAGTCACATCAGGTCACCCTGGGTCAGGCCATGACACAGGGGTCACATCAGGTCACGCTGGGTCAGACCAGGTCACAGGGGTCACGCTTGAGTTTTGACGTTGGCGGAACGTTGGCGGAAAGCGTTTTGCGACCATGGGATATCCTTATCTCCCGTGTAAGCTACTTCCTGGGAATGACAGTCCTACCTCCCGTCTGTGCGTGTCTCGTTTCTGTACCGACTCCGTTACCTGCACCCCGGCGGCCACCTTGCCGAGCTGTTCGTCACTGGCAGCGGCCGTGGAGCCGTGTCCACTGTCCTCGTCCGGCGGCGCCGCCTTGGCCGCTACCGCCTCCTGTCTGGGCGACGGGCCGCCCTCCGCCGGCGGCGACTGGCCCGCGCAGGCCAGCGCCAGCTCGCCGCTCAGCCGGCGCTCCTCGCGGCCCGGCTCCGGCCGCTCCGGCTCCGCGCCGCCCGCCCCCGAGTCGCGCTCGGGCCGCTTCCGTTTTCGGCTGCGCACCTGGCCCTGGCTCCAGCGACTGCGGCGGCGGTGCGGACGCCGAGCAGAGGGTGTGGCCGACTCGGCGCCGGCCGCCGGTCCGCCGCTCTGGACTGCTGGGAGAGGGAGGGGGAGGTCAGAGAAGGTAGAGTATGAGTGAGTGGTCCAAATGCTGGAGATAAATGAGACGTCAGAAAACGGCTAAGTATCTGTCAATGCCTATAAAACTCGCCATTGTACTTTGTAGTATCACCAATTACCAAATATAAACCTCGCATCTCACCACCTTCATCCCTTCGAAGTCAGCCCGCGCCACTCACCGACTTGCTGCTGTTGTTGCTGCTGCTGCTGGTAGAGCCGCGGCGTAACCAAGTAGCTGGGCGCGAACTTGGTGGGCGACTCGGCACGCTGACGGCGACTCTCCCGGATCATCTTACACTGCTCCTCAAAGTCGGAGTCAAGCTGCTCTGCAATCAGCTTGTGCGCCTGAGAAAGATCGAATTCAGTTAGACGTCACCGTCCGCCGACCACACGGGGATAGAACTAGAAGCAATCACATGCCAATTGCCAACACATTGCTACGCTAATGTCTTTTACATACTCCTTTGGGCACAATTTATACTCCGCCACCCAAAACCTCACTCCTCGATAGTATAGTGGTGAGTATCCCCGCCTGTCACGCGGGAGACCGGGGTTCGATTCCCCGTCGGGGAGCTTTTGAGATACCCCGTCATTCTTTTTACAGTCCACGAGTCAGTTTTTATGCTTTGCATTTTGTTGCACCTACGTACTCGATGTGAACAAAATTTGGATGGCAACGTATGCATAAATTTTCTGGGGTACTGTTTCCTAGCGAAGCCATTGCAAAGTTGCTTACCTGATCCCTCAGCATGCACGCGCGGTGCCGTATCTCCCGTCCAACTTCGGTCGTATCCGGGTTATACTCCAATGCGTTGGTGCAGATCAGGTCTACGTCACCCAGGAAGTCTTCGGCCGCTTCGTACCTGAGGAAGTGACATATAACCGTGGTGATAGCACGGACGACAGTATCGCCACGGTAAGAAACAAGTGAACACCACAAACCTAACACAGTCGTCACAACACCACACTTTGCACAACCCTGGGACATACTGGATTGATACACTTGGCGTGGTGACATGCATTTACACTAGACAGAAACATTTGAGTATGGAGAGTGAGGAAGCCGCCAAAATCAAGACACAGCTCGGCGACATACAAGCACGTACCGGTTCCTAGCATGTCCTGATCAGACAAGACGCCTCGGCCACATGAGAGCTGTTGAGTGTACTGCACGGGGCAAAACACTTAGACTGTCGCCCTGGCTTCCGTCTCAACAACACATACCTTAGCTTCCCTGAACCCGTCCCGCACCACATCCAGAGAACTAACTACCCTCGTAGTACCCTGCTTATGCTAATAGATCCTAATCTTGGGTCACTTAGCGCTCTGCATAATATGGTCAGTAATGCTAACACTACCAGCAGTTGTCACGTCGGTAATGCTTACTTGTGCTGATCAATGCGCGTCATGATGGTGTCCAGGTCCATTGGCCGCTCGATGATGCTGTAGTAGTCGGGCGCATCATCCTCCTCGACAGGCTGGCGGAACAGTTCGAACCTGCGGGACAGGGGCAAGGCGTCAGGCCGCGCCCTCGAGCGAAGACGGAAGAAGAAAAGGAAGGATAGAGGCAAGAGTGTGGCGTCAGACCACGTCTTCGAGCGAAGACAGAGGTAGGAGTCAAGCAAGGGCAGACGCATGAGTGTAGCGTCAGACCAGGACTGCAGCGAGGAAGGAGGAAGGAGCCAAGCAACGAGTCAAGGAAAGACAGATGCAGGGGACAGTCAAGGAAAGACATACGGAAGCCTAGGTTTTCGAGCAAAGACGGAGGTAGAAATGAAGGAAAGAGCGAAAACGGAGGTAGGAATCAAGGAATGAGTCAAAGGGCACATACGCCGAGGTAAACATTAAAATGAGATATCACTCT